GTGTAAATAACAACAGGTTCGCCCACTGGTTATAACACTTTTTTTTTGGGGGGGGGGGGGGGGGGGCGGTGAATCAAACGTTTTGCGTGTCACAGACAGTCACGACTCCTTCCCATCAGAGTGGAGGTGAACTAAAAAAGCGTGCAGCCGCGAGCAACAGATGACGAGCAAAACAAACTGAATGTCTGTGCGAGGTGATCTGCAGCACTGCGAGTCCCTGCAGGAATAATCACTATGAGGGACTCAAACCATTCCCTGCAAAGTGTCTACCGAGAGGACTAAAAAGGAGAAATTGTGGAGACTGTTGTTACCTTTTTCGCAGCGGAGGAGGAGGATTCAGACATTATCTCCCGTCAACTTCTCTCCTTGTCCTTCCACTTTTCCGCTGTGCCCCCCTCTTCTTCTTTATCTGCTTTTTTTGTATCCCCCCCTATAGAAACCCGCGCAGCAGCGGCAGAAGCGGCAGTCCGACTGCTCGGCTTGTTGTTGAAGAAGTTATTTTTTTCATGTAGCCGTGTTAGCTTTCTCTTCTTCAGCTGCTGGTCGGGTTCACGGCGCGGCTGACGGAGTGAAAACTTCTTTGTCTGCCAGTGTTTTCCCTTCATATGTCGGCAGCGTGCTGGTTAATAATCCCTTCCTGGAAGAGCAAGACTGAAGAGAGAGAGAGAGAGACCGTCAGACTCACTCACTCACTCACTCTCGCTCTCTCTCTCTCTCTCTCTCTCTCTCTCTCTCATTGATCTGGATGTGTGTAAAACGGCGAAATGACGTGAATTCCCAGCATTGAGCCTTGCCCCCTTTTAAAGGGAACCCCGTAGCAGCAAATCGCGAGGCAGAGATACAGCCACAGTGTTTAACAGTCTGTTTCCTTTATTTTATTCTTTCTTTATTCTATTTTTTTTTTTTTTTAATCAAAGCTTAATGCAAATGCGGTTACACAACAGGCTAAATCGCCGTGATTTAATTAGACAGCGTGCAGTGCAGAAAGCAATCACACAACTGTAAGGACAATTAACACTTTATAAACCTTTAAGGTGAGGGAACTTCAACGAATTATTTCATGAAGTTAAAAACATCATGTGCTGTAATAAAGCCCAATTAACCCTGCGCATACTGTAGCCGATTCCAAATCAAATACGGAAAAGTCATTTTAAAGTCAGTCATAGATGTGATACAAACACACCATAATACAAACAAAACAATAGGTGACTAAATGACAAGAGCAGGAAGTGAACATCACTTGTTGTATGGTAAGCATATGAGGCAAAGGGAAACTATTCGTTGTCATGTTTACATCAAGCTGTAGAAATTTATTTATGTCTGCATAAATGTTTTTTCAGTCAAGACTTTTCTTCCAGTGGACTGATCAGCTTCATAAAACCACCCTCAGAAGGTTACAAGTCGAGTTTTCTAGAAGGGTAATAAGTTCAAATGTGGCTTCATCCACATTATGGTTTTGGATGACAAGATAGGCTAGGTACATATGCATAGTTAGTGGGCTACACAAACCTATGGCATTGATTTGATGCTGATGAGTAAAATCAGGCTTTACCCTGACTCCATGCACACTTTCCAGGCTGGCAGAAAAAAGGCAGCATACAGCTGTTTAAACATGTTCAGCCTTTTGTGTTCACACATGCACCCCACCAGTGCCTCGTGAAACGGACTTCTAACTGCTTTCTTCCACACTATTCTTTTTTTTAATGTATGTCTTAATGTCACTTCAAAGCTAATCCCCCCCCCCCCCAAAAAAAGAAAGAAATAGAATTAAAGGACCCAATTTAAAACTTTTTTTAAGCACTTATATAATTATAATAATTGATATACTTTATTTATCCTGTGAGGGGAAATTCGTTTTTTACAATCTGTCTAATGAACATGCTTAACAAACAGGCTGAAATACACACACAGGATCCTATGGACATGCACTAATGGAGAGGTCTCAGAGTGGGGGGGGCTGCCCTCAGTGGGTGCTCCTGGTGGGGGGTTAGGTGCCTTGCTCAAGGGCACCTCGGCAGTGCTCAGGAGGTGGACTGGCACCTCTCCATCTACCAGGCCAATTGCCTGACTTGGTCCGTGCTGGGACCAAGTCAGCGACCCTCCAATTCCCAACCCAAGTCCCTACAGACTGAGCTACTACCACCCAGAAAAATTCAAAAATTTCCAATTTCCAAAATATGGTAAGCGGTATTTGCCAAACAATGAAAAAGCTATGATAAAACTGCATACAGTACCAGTGGGCGCTGGCAGCCTACTGGTAGGTGTGCAAGCCCCATGTACAGAGGCTCGAGTCCTCCAAGTGGGCGGCGCAGGTTTGAATCCTACCCACCATGCACCAACATGCTGTGAATAAAATGGTTATGTGGCGCGATAGACACGCTCTAGAGATCAATGCAAAGAAAACAGGAAATTGTATTTGGTTCACCATCTGATGCTCATAAAGCTCCTATTCTCATTCATGATGAAAAAATCAAGCAAGTGTCATCTTGTAAATATCTGTGTATAATGATCGACCATCTGTTGTCCTGGAAAGATCGCATCGATTACATCTGTAAAAAGACAAAACAAGAATTTATTTCCTCCGCCGTCTGAGATCTTTTGGGACGAGTCGACAGATTCTTCTTTTGTTTGTTACCTCTGTGATTCTAAGTGTCCTACAGTATTGTAACACCTCATGGTATATGTGTCTGTCTGCCACTCTGAAGTCTAAACTGCTCCAGCAGTTGAACATCTGCTCTAAGATTGTAGGCCAACCCATGCAAAGACTCTATGAATCCGCCTACAACAAAAGCATTTTAAGACTGGCTAACTGCATCGCCTCTGACCCTGACCACGCCCTGAACACAAAATAAGAACTGTTACCATCAAACCGCAGATACAGGGTCCCACGTTTTAATAAGGTCAGACTGAAACACTCTTGTGTTCACCAGTCAATTCTAAAATTGAATGTGGAGCTGAATCCTTGACCAAAGCACGTGTAGGGCCTCTGGGCATTTGTTTGGCGTTTGAGTGTTGTTTCAAAAGTTTATATCTTGAGCATTGTGTTTGAATGTTGTGTCAAATGTTTGTATCTTTGTTTCCTGTCTTAATTGTTGTGCCGCAAACGGAGCCGCTGTGACGCAAGGCAAATTTCAGACTACGTCTGACAATAAAGTATGATCTATCTATCTATCTATCTATCTATCTATCTACCCATGGCTCCTTTCCTCTCCCTGATAACAGAACAAAGTCAAATTGAATGAATTGGTATCCTAATTCAGATTGGATGCATAGGTAGCTCGCATCAAAATGTGCTTAAAATAATTTACTTGATTGATGTAAATATTGTATTTACAGCTTGTTCTGCTGCCCCCATGTGGCCAAATTTATGAGAATCCCTCTTTAATTGATGTACACGCTGCACAATCAGATCTTTACGACGAAGTCTTTTCCTTAGAAACAGATTTTTGCTGAAGGATTTTTTCACAGATGGTGCACAGAGCTAATTTAAAAAACAAACACATTTCTTGCAGGTTAAGGGGAAAAACACCTAAAATGTCTAAAGGTGTTAAGCCTCCAGATCAGCTTCACTGCTCTTTGGTTTCTGCAACTCTATGAAACTGTACTCTTCTAAAGACTATTTCCTCATTTGGTTGTTTGATGATGGAGGAGTGAAACAACAGCACAGGTTTCAAGCTCAGATGAGATATGGCGAGAAGAATGGAAGCTCTGTTCTTGTAAAGCAGAGTTTCTGGTGGCGGCAGATGGTGTAAGAAAAGACAAGGGGGAAAAAAATCATGGAAAAATCACTTCCAACATGCACTGTATATATTCCCTTCACAGAGTGGGAGGGGAGCAGGAAGCAGAGGCTGATGGGAAATCTGCTGCAAGCCACCAATGCAAAAGCTGATGCACATTAATCCTGATACTGCAGAATGAGATCTGAAGAAAAAAAAACGACTCGGATGTTTTATGTTGTTTGATTTAATTTATTCTGTGATAAATGTAAACTGAGTGTGTTCCCAAAACAGAAGAAGAAGAAATGACAGACTGCATCAGCTCCCAAGTGAAATTTGTTCTTTCCTATGAATAAATACATTTTGCAAATCAATAATCGGAACAGCTGTTTTGGAGTTCACCAGTAAGGTCCCCTCTTTATTCTTTTTTTTTTTTAATGTCCAAATGTTACTTAACATGTATAACAGTCTGAAAATGATCAGTTCAAGAACACATCACAATTGCACTATTTTATAGACCCTATTATATTAAACATGCTAAAGAATTCATACACAGTTGAATGTTGAAGCTTGAAATTGGGAAATAAAGGAAATAAAGTAAGCTTTAATATTTTCCCTCCGTCCAGTGCGGGTCATTTGAAATTAGACGATTTCTGAAAGAGTACATATTTTGGCAATTTAGAGAATATAACAAGCCTGAAGATGTTGTATGAAAGTTGTGTTCTCACAATTGAAGTCACCGCAGGCGAGACATGTGCCTGAGGTTTTTTTCTACAGATTACATTAATACTGTTACAGTGATGAGATCAAAAAGTAGCAAATGTAATCTGACACACCATCTGACATGTTTATAGTTGCTGCTGCGTGAATTACATGGTAATCCTTTAATTATGTGAAACGATATTTCCCTGATACCGAAGGGATTTATCACATACACACAACATCTGTCAACAATTGATACCAGGTAAATAAACAAAAAGTCCTTCTTTAGTGGCAAAATGTATCATGTATCATTTTTTTTAAAGAGAAAAGCCTGTTTTTATTTCATGTATTAAAACTGCCTTTATTGCATCGCATAATGAATGTGACTGTGTATAGTTTAAGTAATGGGAAAAGCTTCAGCAGTTTATTGGCCTTTTATAAATAACCCCACTGAGTTCAGCTCTACTGTACTTTAATCAGCACAGGGCTGTATGAAGTCAAATGACGCGAGGGCGCCCTCAAGTGGAGGAGAGCAGCATAACAGCATGCGCCTGATAAATAGTTAAGTTTCGTTTTCCATTCTGCGTAAAGGAGAACGCTGTATATGATACAGAACTTTCCTATACCCGTGATATCACCAGCTGCTCTCCACACGTCTTGCTTGCTTTCGCGGAAGTGTTAGGACAAATAGGATCAACAGCGTTAAAATTATGGAGACCGAAGTTTTAAAGATCATCCTAGCCAGTCAAGGAGCTGTCGACACCGATTATTTGATGTCTAACATCGGCTACGGCGATTCCACGAATCAGATCATCACTAACCGAGAGAAATTTACTTTGTGTTCTCCTTTTGGCCAGCCTAAGGTGGTGGCTCGGACCAGCCTGAGACTGTGCAGAGTCAGAGGCTGTACTGGATCATGTAAGGGGCTGCACCTGTGTAAACACTTCCTCTTCAGCGGATCTTGTCAATTCCTGTCAAGGTAAATATGTTAACATTGACTATGGTTCCTAAGGTGATCAGTCAAAGCTTTAAACAGGCCTATCTGCAAGAGGGTAATGGTTCTGGGCAGGCTCCTTCAGAGATATCTCAGCAGAGGTGGATAGAGATTGGCCTAGTGGAAATCTGTACGCAAGTATGGAGTAAAGCAAAATAGTTATAGGCTACTGTTATGTTTATAACTGACGTAATAGTGGCCTTTGGCCCTCTTAACATGTTGCAGTCCAGTTAAAAACACTTAAACATGTTCAGTATTTACAGTCTATGGTTCAGTACCTCTCAAGATGCTACAATAACTCATATTTGTTGAAATGTGCCACTGGGTATCTTTACCTTTTCAAACAGCAACATAATGTGTGGTTATGAGACTGTCCAACCATTACATAATAGCATGAACTCACTTGTTATTTGAATAATATGTCCTATAGCTAAATGTCTTACAGTAACATTGTATTGTGCTGGATTTTTGTTTCTTAATTTCCGGACCAACTGTTGGCTATATATTGTTATATATAATGATATATACATTTGTGTGTTTTTGTTCTCTGACAGGAGAGGGTGCAGCTCCTCTCATGAGCTGAACTCTGATTACAATCAGATGATACTGAAGGAGCTTGAGCTGGAGAGTCTGAGCAGGGCGGAGCTATGTACACTGCTGCTGCAGAGCGACAACTTGCTCCTGCCTGCTGTGAGTATGATAAGAGTTGGTTTGACATGAAATTCAAGAGGCTTTCAGGGGCACCCTTCCTGAAGTTTTCTAGAAATGTTCAGGTGTGAGTATGTGAAAACAGCTCGAGTTAACAATTTATACAGGGGAGTTTTCTTTAAAGATTTAAAACATTTTGAGCCTTTAATTGAGAGATAGGACAGTGGATAGAGTCGGAAATCAGGGAATGACATGTGGGAAAGGAGCCACCGGCTGGTTTTGAACCTGCCCGCCCGCTTGGAAGACCACAGCCTCCATACATGGGGCGTGCACACTAACCACTGCGCCACTAGTGCCCCACAGGGGAGTTTTCTTAGATACAATATTTGATTGTTGACTATGATGCACTGCCTCTGTACAGGGGGGTTAACATGTTGTAGGAGACCTTAGAGCTGTGCTTCTCAACTTGTACAGGCAAGGCAGGCAACTGGGGGGGGGGGGCAGGTCCAACAGAGTGTAAACCACTGCAGTGGCTCCAAATGTGTAAAGTTTTCATTGACAGTAGGAAACCCCCTAAGGTGGTCCCATCTGACAGCACTAACTCTTGTTATACTGTCAAGCATTGCATGCATTATTGCTGTGAAAACCAAAGTGTGTTATGAAAGTCGACGGAGGACAATGAAGCGCTTCACTGTCTTTAATATCTATGTTTTAAAAATAATGTTAATGTATAAAATCTGTAAACACTTCACATTTCGCAATTTAACATAATGGTGATGAACACCGGTTGGAGGGGTCCCCTGTGACCTTTTACCTAGGGCCCCAACAGACTCTAGAATCGCCCCTGCTGGTCTATCCTCAGGACCGCATCACCAACTCCTTAAAGAGAAATCATGACTCAATTTTCTGATATTTCTCAACCAATTAGATTTATTTAATAACAAGTTTTGCAGCTTGGACCTCAGATGGTACAAAACATCTGACAGAACAAAGAGACTTAGCAAAACAAGCACGTTTAGAGAGTGCCTCAGACTTTTTGACACCATTTGTTTGGCAAAGCACACAATCGCGACCCACTGGAAATTAGAGCAGTGGTTCTCAACTGGTGGGTCGGGACCCAAAAGTGGGTCGCGGAGCCGTTTCAGTGGGTTGTGAATGTGTGCCTGGAAGAAAAATGCTGTTAAAAAATCTATGAAGCACTTTTTTTTTGTTTGTTTCTGTGCCTTTGTTCTATCATGTTTTGTACCGTCTGAGGTAAAAACTGCACAATTTTTGTTTAAAAAATATAAGAAACTTGGGTCACGATTTTTCATGAAGGAGTATTTGGTAGGTCCTGAGGCTGAACCAGCTAAGAACCACTGCCCTAGATTATTATCTTAAAGAAGGTGATCCATTTTCAGTTTTTTGCTTTGCTTGACTGTAACAACCTTTTCCCCTCTGTCCCTTCCTGTTTTATCCCCTATAACAGATATGTCATGATTACAACAATGGTCCCGGTGAGTACGGGATATGTCAGCGTGCTGATGGCTGCGAGAGACTGCATATCTGTGAGAGGTACCTGAACCGAGACTGTAATTGCCACAAGACTCATGATTTCAACGAACCACAGCCATTACAAATCCTGCGGAGTAAAGGTGTTCCAGACAGCCTTATTCCCAGCTTGAAGTCTGCTTATGCAAACAAAGGGGCCATAAGGTATGCTGACAGAAAAAGGGATGAGCGCAACGAGGGTAACCGTCAAAGACCGCAACTTAACTCTACAGGTAGTGGCTTCTCTGCGGCTACAAACTACCCTGGTGTGGTTCCCAGCTATGATCTGCATGTACAACCTCATGATTGGCACAGAGGGAGATGGAGAGGGAGAGGGAGAGGGATAGGGAGAGTAGGTTTCCAGGGAAATAGAGGCATCAGGGGCCATTGGAGCGTCAGCGGGAACCAGGACTACTATCCACCGCAGCCGATGTACCTATACCATTGGTGACTCCCTCGCTGACAGTGATACATTAGATTTGTCCGCTGATGGTGGATCAACAGAAGCTAACTTAGAACCGCAGAGAGCAAATGACACCGATGCAAGACTAACATAAATGTAATCAAACTTCCAACAGCTGACAGAGGGAGAGGTGGCAACCGCAGCAACTGGAGCAGCCGGCAAGAGCTGCAACTCGTTCAAGTGACATCAGAGAAAATATTTAAAAAAATGGAAAGCAAAGACTGTTTTAATTTCATTTAAACTCTAAAATACACACAATAGCAGTGCTTTGTGTCTCTGTCTGTCACCTGATAACAGACATCTGCACATGGCGATCAACCTGAATTCTCTTTATTCTGTGAACTGTGTTCTGCTAAAAACAGTACAGACCATCTCGACGGCACAAAGCTGACATTCTTCTGATTTAATTAACACGGATATCAACAATAGGCACACTCCATTTGCAGTGGATGATAAGCTGACAACCACTCTTCAGCAGATACAGAAATGAAAAACATTTGCCCTGTTTTTTTTTTTTAAATCGAAAATTTTAGATTAATCATCAGCAGTGCCCAATCAACAATAAGACCTCAGCATCTTGATGGTTTTTAACTTAAAACTTTCTTAAGTTGTAGTTTCCATCTTGACTATTTTCAAACAGGCTTCCGACTGTTTTAGTACTGGAGACCTCTTATTTTTTAATAATTTTAAGCCGTGATATACCAAACACAGAGAAATAAGGTTAGAAAGACAGATGTTTATTTCTCCTTCATTTAGTGAATTGGTATACTAATGAGTGTTTGTGTGTTTGTCTATTTTGATTTACTACATTGTAGGAATATATGATAACTTATTTCAAAGATGTTTTTGGGGTCAAAATGCTCCAGCAACACTTGTAGTAAGAAGATCAACTTTCTTAACAATTTAGACCAATGCGTTTCGGCTCGTGGCCTTCATCAGGGTCACCTGATTGACCCAAAAAGATGTTTTTGGGTCAATTTTTTCCCTTTGTTGAAGTGAAGACAGCCGATGAGAGACAGGAAATGTTGGGAGGAGAGAGTGGTAGATGAATTTCCCTCGGGATCAAGAAAGTCTATGACATGCAGGCGAGGGACAAGGTCGGATTCAAACCCACAGTTGCTGGGCCAACAATTATGGCCTCTGTACATTGGGTGCACAACATAACCGCTAGGCTATCCAGAACACCTCCCTGAATGAGGGAGCCTTTCTGGTTTCCGGTTAAGGTTTGGCAGTTCAGAGAGATTCTGCCTCTTGGATAATGATATTTAAACTTTGAGAAGACAAGAAGGGGGTTAGTAAACGCCCCCTCCCCTCCCCAGTAGTCTCAAAGAAAAGTGTATTCTGGAAACACAAAAGAAACGGAGAACATGTACAAGCTATGTGTGGATAAGCGGTGGAAATGCTGACAACTATGGGCCACAGGAACAATTTAGTTCCTTGAAGAGAAGTCCCTGAACCTTTTAGTTCTGGGGACCTTTGGTCGAAACAGGGCTTTTAACCGGACTTCTGAAAAAGACGATGAAACAGCTACAGCTCATTCAAAACGCACCAACTAGAATTCTGACCAGGACCAAATAAATGGAGCACATTACTCTGGTTTTAAAATCTCTGCACTGCCTCCCAGTTAATTCTTTTTAAGTGTTTTTACTAGTTCACATCTTACTGAACAGTATAGACTCAGAATACATACATCTGACATAACAGGAACCTTAGACCTGTGGACCCTGGTCCCCTTGTTCAGTCCAGAGTCCTGACTAAACATGGTTGAGAAGCTTTGAGTCACTAAAACATTTTACGTGGTCTAAAGATTAACATTTTTTAAAGAAGGTTAAAAATGATTTACTTTTTTTCCTTTTGTTTGAATGAGCCTAAAAGCTTACACTTTTATTTTTCATGTTTTCATTTGCTCTAATTGCATTTCACATAAATATTACATTATTTCATTACTTTTAATTGTTTTAATGGCACTTTTAACAATGATGTTATGATTTTTATGTACTCTGCATTATATCTTCATTTGAACATTTTAGCCTTGTATTTGTTTCTTTTGTCTTCCCTGTGTGAAGCACATTGAGTTGCCTCTGTGCATGAAGTGTGCAATATAAATGAAGGTGCCTTATAAATAAATGTTAAATATGAAGCCATTTCTGAATTATTTGATTTGTTTTTGAATTTCCATAAAATATTGAAATCACAAGACAATGATCAAACCCAATCAGCCTTATTTGAACTTCAGTGACAGGACGATGGACTTAAATGTTTTTTTACTGACAGAATCCACCCTTAGATGTTAATTCTCTTCACTGAGTGAAGAAAATTAAAATCTTTAATTCACTCATACACTGAGTTAACTTGTTACATAGATTAGATCTTCAAAGATTATTTCTACTCAGCTGTAGATTTCTTTCCATTTACATAAGCTTTTGTGCAGTTATGTTTTGATTCCAGCCTTTTAAGTGATGAGCCACAGGAGCTCTTGCCTCTTTGCTGAAATCTTCACCAAAACAAAGCTTGGCACACTCACACAAGGTAATCTCACTGCACGTCATGTAATTTGGTGAATTCTCAGAAGGTCTAGGCTACCATGTGTAATTCTATACTAGTTCATAAGGCTTTGATGTGATACAGGAGTCTTGTTTTTCATTGAATCTGTCATTCTTACGTAATGTTTTTAAAGGTTATCTTGGAGTTAATATTATCTGTAAACACAAGTGTGTCTGGAAAAAACAATGGGGCAAAGATTTATGGTTGACTCACTCCAAAAAGTCAGCTGGAGTTGCCATCTTGAAGGAAAACTTTAAAGGTAACATTTTAGAAATAAAACCTGATGATAAAGTACCTGGTGTTTTTAATTCATGTACTAACAATGTCTCTGTAGCTCATGAGAAATAGGCTATCTCATCATTAATGTGAATGTGTATAGTTTAATTAATGGGAAAAGCTTCAGCAGTTTTTTGGCCTTTTATAAATAACCGCACTGAGTTCAGCTCTACTGTACTTTAATCAGCACAGGGCTGTATGAAGTCAAATGACGCGAGGGCGCCCTCAAGTGGAGGAGAGCAGCATAACAGCATGCGCCTGATAAATAGTTAAGTTTCGTTTTCCATTCTTCAGAAATGAAACACTGACACTGCACTGTCCTATACCCGTGAACTCACCAGCTGCTCTCCAGTCGCCGTCTTGCTTTGCTTTGAGGTGGAAGGACAGACAGGACTAAGAGCGTTACAATTATGGAGACCGAAGTTTTAAAGATCATCCTAGCCAGTCAAGGAGCTGTCGACACCGATTATTTGATATCTAACATCGGCTACGACGATTCCACGACTCAGATCATCACTAACCGAGAGAAATTTACTTGGTGTTCTCCTTTTGGCCAGCATAAGGTGGTGGCTCGGACCAGCCTGAGACTGTGCAGAGCCAGAGGCTGTACTGGATCATGTAAGGGGCTGCACCTGTGTAAAAACATCCTCTTCAGCGGGGCATGTCATTTCACCCAGTCAAGGTAAATATGTGTACATTTGTTACATTTGTTCCTATGGTGAGTCAAAGCCTTAAAATGGCCTGTCTGCTGATAAAGGTTACATTTAAAGCTGTCGTCATTGCTGTGTGTCATGAAATCTATATGGAGAAAAACGACACTCACAGCAGGCGGGTGTCGGCGGTACTCTGGCATTTAATGGGGTTAAATTGTCAACAACTTATTGTAAAGGCCTTGACACAAGTGTTGCGTTCAAGGCCCACCGTTCAATTTCTAGTTGATAATTTCCTATGGTTGTCTCACAAAAACAAAGTACTTCTGACATTTTTCAGGCTAATTGAGCTCATTTAACAGCTGAAATATGAACTATTTCCTGTTATGGAGAAGTCTGACATCATGGGGAAATGCTTTGTCGTTTAACATCTGAAAAAGTTACTTATACCACTCTCTGTTACCTGTTTGTGAAGCAGCTGCAGCAACCAGTTTAACAGGTTCAGCTTGGAGAATAACACAGATAGATAACATGTCGGAAAGTAGCCAAGTAAAGCCACCTTTTGAAAACGAATGCAAGTTTGGTTTAAAGTCTTGGCCAGGTGCATGATCTCAAAAGGCTTAAGGTTTCAGTCTCTGTGCTAAGCTAAGCTAACTTGATAGCTGCTAGTTCTGGTTTTACTATGACAGTATTCGTTTGTCTTAAGGAAGAAAATAATCATATTTCTGATACAACACAGAAGCTTAAAGTTTTCAGAAGAAATTCTACCTCTGTCATGCTGTAAAAGCAAATTGGTTATAATTTTAGTTGTTTCCTGTTCTGATGTAATAGTGGCATTTAGCCCCATTAACAAGTTACAGTATTTAACTCTGATAAGTCCAGTGTAAAATAAAAATAACATGTTCAATATTTCTCAAGATGCTACTATGAGTTATAGGCTATTTGTTGAAATGTGCCACTGGGTATCTTCACCTTTTCAAACAGCATGAACTCACATATTCTTATTGGTGTTTTATGAGCCTCTTTTGGCTATATATTGTGATTGAACTTTGTGTGTTTTGTTTTTTGATGACAGGAGAGGCTGCACCTTCTCTCATGCACTGGACTCCTTTCACAATCAGGTGATACTGAAGGAGCTTGACCTGGAGAGTCTGAGCAGGGCAGAGCTATGTACACTGCTGCTGCAGAGCGACAACTTGCTCCTGCCTGCTGTGAGTTTTAACCATACTGGTGTTTTCACATATGCACACAAATATTGGTATTCTCCTCACTAGACATCCCTGTATGCAGACTGCCGTGATGTTAGCTCATGCAAATCAATCCATCTGTTATATATTTACATCATTTATTATCATGTTCATTTCAGCATCGTTTGCACTATTAGTCACTGCACTGTGGGCTTCTTTAGTCTTGTACATATTAGTCTTAGTTTATTGTAAAATATTTAATGTTGTACTTTTGTACATGGAGAGCCCAGTTCCCTGAAGTCAAGATACCTGGCCAGTAAGGCTGATTCTGCTTTGAACAAAACTCCTGTAAACTTCCTGGAAATCTTGGGATGAGCTGCACACGTGAACGCAAACAGCACTCTGACTTTACCTGGAATTTTACCTGGAAACAGCATAAAAATATTCAGGAAAAGTCAGTGCGATCGAGGGGGGGGGGGTCTGAGTTGGTTTGTGGCCAGTGCGTAAAGTTGTGATTTCTGTGCACATAATAAAACTGCTTCATTTTATGGGTTTACCCTATCATTCATTTGGGGCCCCTCAACTGATTACCCAATGTCTGCCAGCGTCACAATGCTTACCCCTCTTCCTCTTTTTTCCACTGCCTCAGTACATTGGGGTTTAACAGATTGCAGGAGACCCTAGAGTACCTCAAGTTTTGTTGTGTTGATTTTACAAATGTAGCTGAATAAACCCCTTTCTTTATTATCTTTTTAGTTTTTTGCTTTGCTTGACTGTAACAACCTTTTCCCCTTCTCCCTTGCTGTTTTATCCCCTATAACAGATATGTTATGATTACAACAATGGTCCCGGAGAGTACGGAAAATGTGAGCGTGCTGATGGCTGCGAGAGACTGCATATCTGTGAGAGGTACCTGAACATACACTGCAGTTGCCACAAGACTCATGATTTCAACGATCCACAGCCATTAAAAATCCTGCGGAGTAAAGGTGTTCCAGACAGCCTTATTCCCAGCTTGAAGTCTGCTTATGCAAACAAAGAGGCCATAAGGTATGCTGACAGAAATGGGAATGGGAGCAACAAGGGTAACCGTGCGGCTACAAACTACCCTGGTGAGTGTAACAGTGATGGTCACAGAGGGAGAGGAAGAGGGAGGGGGAGAGGAGGTTTCCGGGGAAATAGAGGCAACAGAGGCAAGAGGGGCAACAGGGGCAACAGCAGGAACCAGGACAGCCGTCCACTGCAGCAAAGTACCCATTCCAGTACTGACTCCCTCGCTGACCTTGATGCGTTAGATCTGTACGGTGATGGTGGATCTACTGAAGATGACAACGGAACAGCTGACAGAGGGAGAGGTGGCTTCCGCAGCACCTTGAGCAGCCGGCAGGAGCTGCAACGGACCCGTTCAACGAGTGACATCTTCGCTGCGGGGAGAGCCGATGCAGACGAGGATGACGGAGCGAACAGAAGACAAATACCAAGACCTGTCAGAGGTAAACCCAGCCGGCTGGTTCCTTTTATTAAAGGGATTTTCAGTTAGATATGTGTGAAATGTTAACTTGCACTATTTTTGCTTTCCTTTAGATAAAACTGAGATATGCATGTACTTCATCAAAGGAACCTGCAAACATGGTGACGGTGAGTAATCAGTGATAGATCATCAACACTTAGCAGCTGTAACTGTCTTTGTTTTAAAGTAGTTGAGTGTTTAATGACCGATGTGTTCTCAGAGCGGTGTTACAAAGCTCATAGCAAGATGCCGTACAGATGGGAGGTCAACAAGGATGACAAATGGACCGTCATGCCCAATAATGAGGCGATTGAGAAGGACTACTGTGACCCAAACAACGCATACAGGTGCTCTCCACTGACATCTACTGGAATTGTTGTTCATGTACTTGTGGGAAGATGACATTGTTTAAGGAAATCTATTTTGCTGATCCATATTTAAATACAGAAATATGTATTTACATCTATCTGTCGTACTGTTAAGATGTTTTTTTAAACTCAAGATACACAGTTGTTGGCGTAATGCCTGGATGTGGTTAACGAAGAGCTACATTTAGCAGCTTGTTAGCATTAGCTTAACATAAAAAAACAAAAAACAAGAAGCTTGGCTATCAGCTGGCTCTCCTCTGTCCAGATATAACTAAAATCACTAAATCAAATTATATCAACATGTTCTTGTGTTTCATCAAACAAATTAAACAATGAATAACCAAAAAGGTTACTTTGCTTTAGAATAAATATATCTACTAACAGTTGCTCATTTTTCTGTTTTTAGCAGCAGCAGCAGCAGCAGCAGCCCACCTGTGCACTTCGACACTATGACCCAAGGACAGAACAAAGTACGACGACTCTCCACCGTCAACTCTTTGCTTGAGCCGGACTTCATCCACACCACTGAGTGGCTTTGGTACTGGGAGGACGAGTTTGGAAAGTGGAGCATATACGCTTCAGCTGTGAGTAACTGCACTGCAAGAAGACACACTCGGAGTCTTTTTTTTTTAAAATTGGGTTTACTGGGGATACTGCAGATATGGGTTCATGAGGGCTACTTTTGGGACTTTCGCTGAACAACTGTTGCTCTGTGCTTTGTGCAGTGACATGCTCACCTTACCCATTTTTTTTTTTTTTTAAATGAACCACTACATACCATCATAGGCGTAGATTTTGTCTTCAATATTTAGAAAAGGTAGATTTGTCCCCCTCAAAATAATATATATATATTTTTTTTAAAAGGTCGAAAAAAAAAAAGGTAATGAAAAACATTTCGGGGGCTCAAAACATTTATATATCCTTCTGACCTGTAAATACGTTTCCCAATCATTTCAGACATACCATATGGGGACCATACCATCTTAACCTTGCCGCATAGTCACACTTCTGAACCAGCATAACTAAATAACATCGTTTAAGTTATCACTCATTTAACTTTTAACCATGATTTAGGCTGTTGATTAAGAGTTAAGTGTTAAACAACACAGAACAGAAGTCCCTAAAGTCCGCTGTCATTGTGATGTTTGGCAGTGTTACGTTATTGCTTCATTCATTGTGTAATTGTTCTGTCCTCTGTCTGCCAACATATTAATAAAAACAGCAGGCTATAAATCTACATGCCTTGATGATATTATTCTTTATATAGCCTGCCTATCAATTGATTTTTTGAAGTGCAATAAACACGGACAATATCCGACCGCATTTTTTCCAAATAGTGAGTGAAAGATTAGTCAGCCATAACAACGGCTTTTATGTAGTTTTAAATTTTGGATACTAAGGCTATAACAAGGTGTCATTCTCTAATAGATTTGAAACATCCCAAAACACCTGTAATGTTTTGAATATGCAGAAAGTTATGAAGAATACAGTTGAATAATTAATAGTAATTCAAAAATAATTATAATTTCCTATTCATAGTAAAGAAATTTCCGCCATAAATGAATTCAGAAAAGGCACAAATTGTTGCATAAAAATTCACCAGAATGCAGGAAATGAAGTGTTTGACACTCAAAATTCTCTGGGGGGGAACCTCCAGACCCCCGCTGAAAATTTGTCCCCCCCCAATGTTGAATCCAAACCTACGCCCTTGCATACCATGCTCTAAGTTAGAAAAAAAAAACACACAATGATGTAATGTAAAGACACAATGATGTAAGTAACGTAAACATACAAAGATCAAAAGACAGTTGAAGGTTAATTAAAATGTGAAGCCATTACTCTTCAGTAACAGTATTAAATCTTGAATATTGCATGTTGAAAAACTGAATCTGCTCCATTAAGACACCAGTATGAGTTAGCAAATGTTGGAGCAGCATAAAGGAAGAAGAAAAACAGCACACAGTTTTCATTGAAGATATACACAGTGACAACCTGCCTCAGCAAGCAAAGCTAGTGGAGTTGATTTGGGCTAAATATGGTGACAGTACCTTTATTTCTTTCAGTGACATTTTGCAAGGGTTCAAACTCCCTCTAAATTCGCTCTAATGATATTTGTACACGTTGAAAAAGAAACCTCTGCTCTCAAGTGGAATTTACTATGTGATATTGGCCTTCTTATGCAATACTCTGTTATAAACCACACCAGGTGAGGTCCCTGTGGACTCTGACGGTTGAGAGAGCAGTGTCAGCTTCTGCTTTTTTAAAGTGATAGAAATATTATATCACACCACGATTTAACTTCTCTATTCATCCATCCCACTAATAAATGACTAAACATTTGCTGACAGGTTCTGTTTATATAACTCAGTCTAAGTCTACATTGGACATTTCTTCCCCTTGCTAGCCTTTAAGCTGATACCCATGGACATAATTTAATTTATTTTTATCTTATCTTGTGCTGCTCTACACACACACAAAAACATTATGAGAGGCAGAGCTGTGTACTCAGGCTGTGTGGCAGCATCTTCGAGGATGGAGATTATGACAGGGAGATGCATTAAATTACCATTTACCTGTCCCAGTAGCGCTTTTAGACCTTGTTGCCAACAGACACAAGAACTGGGTAAAATGTCACAACTTAGTCTTTGTTAGAGAGTTAGGAAGTCCATATTGGAAAAATTCAATTACAATTACTTCTTAGACTTTCTGCTGAAGTCAGCTTTATTTGAAGTAGACATAAACATTACCTCAATCCTGTTTTTGATCATGTCTATAACCCCCCTCTATTTCAGCCCTGCTCAGAACAGGCTGTTTCTGTGTCTGTACCTTTAAATGTAAATGAGCTGTGTTTTGACCACGCCCCCTCTTTGGAAGGGCTTGGGTGGCGTGGGATTTCTCGCTGCATTTCCTATTGTTTACAGTGAGAAGGCAGACTCAGAGGGCAGAACAAACACCTAGCTGTGGGAGTGTCACCCGGATGGGGAGGGGTTACCTTTGTGATGTCACAAAGGGAAAATCTCCAATCACATTTTCTGAAAAGTGGAGCAGGCTAAAGATGGAGGGGATGGACTTTTCTCATACTTGGGGGTTTGTAGACAGACTAGAGACACATATTAGTGTTAGGAAAACATGGTAACGTGTATTATGCATAATATGTGACCTTTATTAAAATCAGTCCATATCTGTCTTTATTTCAGACTGGTGGACACAAAGCTGCAGACATGGACAGCCTTAAACTGGAGCAAAAGTATCTGCTTAATGAAAAAGATGTGGTGGAGTTCACTGCCGGTTCACAGTCATATTCACTCAGTTTTGAAGGTAAAAAAAAAAGATTTGCTTCTGTTTTAACAAGATGGAACATTTTGACCTTGATGTAAACAGATAATCATCATCTTCTTTTTTTCCTGCTGTCAGACATGATACAAACTAACAAGCATTATTCCACCAAGAGGCTGGTGAAAAGACGGCCGCGGTTCATCTCTGGGGCTGATGTCCTAGCAAAAAGAGTGAGGTAAGACAACCAAAGTGTTCTATGCGGATCCAGCTGTTCATGATTCATGATTTAAAAAATAGTGTTTTAATGCAAAAAAGGTGAATAAAATGATACTATGCCTTGTTTGTTTTGCGGACCACAGAAAGCCTATTGGTCAACCAAGTTCCACTGCTGTCCCTGTTCACTGGGACAAGAGCCAGATCCCACTAACAGGATACAAGGTACTGTGAAAGCACCACGCCTTTTAAAATAAGAGATATTTGTTCATTTCAACTTACATTCTTACATTCACTCCCAGACTTTAGAGTTCAGTGCTTTTTAAATATTTTAGAAAAGCAACTTAATCATAGTTTACAGACTAACCTGTGTGACTGCTGGAAGTTCTCAAATCAGCACCTTAGTCATAAAAATCACATCAACTTATTGTTTGTCTTGTCTTTGATTTTCGACCAAATGCAGAACTTTATTTTGAAATGGAGATATACAGTGTAATTATGTGGTAGATGTGAAGCACCTGAAATCAGTCCTTGAAAACAGTGTAGTGCAGCGGTTCTCCCCATAGAATGTATCAAAATGGACGTAGTGAAAGTAATGTCACTGAAGAGGACTTCTGAAGCCCATCGATGGCAGTCGCCATATTGGAAATCATTTCACTTTATTTTTCAACCCAGGAGGTTCCTGATTGGATCTTACATGTAGACGTGCTTATATCTGCTCCCTACAAGCAAGAAGGAATGAAAACCAATGTTACAAAAGTAGCTTAAAAAAAAAAGTTTGCTTCTTTGCAATCACTGCTATAATCAATATCTTCAAAACCACAAAATCTCCCAGAATGCTCAGTTAGCAACAGTAGCTCTTAAAACACATTACGTACTACATAATGGTAACTTTATTTATTAAGCACCTTTAGAAACACAGGTTTACAGAGTGCTTTGACATACAGCAAAAGATCCCAAACACAGAAGAGCAAAAACATGAGCAAGAATATAGACTATGCAAAATAACAACAAACAACCCAATTCGCAGAAAGAACCCATACAGCCAGATAGCCAAATGAGCTCACTGGTAAACAAACCAAAACATTTGCATCCACAGTAAAGAGTAAGATATTTAACTGAGGAGTTGGTAGTGACCAAAAACAAAGCTAAAAGAGAGTTCTACTGACACAACACATATTACTACTTGTTTCTCTTAGACAGCTGGATGTTTAATAAACTGTTTGCTTACAAAGTCACTTGACTATAAAGTAATGCTGTCACTTTAAAAAAAGAAAGAACTTCAAACATTTTAACACATTCGAAACCCACAAAACACTTTAACTTAGCTGAACCGTTTCAACAATGAGCCTAAAACCAACAGCCTGTTGGCAATCCAAAAGGACTGATTTATTTTCTAATATTATTCACCAGAAACATGAGTATATTAACTTGAGATCGAGTGCAGCTCTCTCTCCATTTATTCACAATATCACCTTCTGGGTTGCTGTATGCAGAGAGACGAGTCTCCCTCATGTAAGTGAATCACTCCCCGACATCTTGCTTTTGCCACATCACTGTCTTCATTTACTGAGGTCAAGAGTCCATGCAATGGTCAAGTTACACTGAGGGCGCCCTCTGCTGGATCAAACTGCACACTACCTCAGACGGCCTGGTGCGCTCATAGACTGTATATTTTGAATTTGAGGGGCTCATTACAGTTCGAATGTGAGCTTTCTCCCCCAGGTTCGAGTGAATGTTCCAACTTCCAATTAAAACATCACAGCCTTACTGTACAGTATGTCGGTGTTGTGTTCACTTTGCAATTAATCTTCAGAGGCTATTGTTTGTGATGTAATACAACTAAATCTACTTTTTCGAGAAATTAAACTTGTTTGCCTGGGAAATGTAATTTTTCCCCCTCTATTTTGTGTTTTTATTTTTTTTATTTTTTTTTACAGCGAGTCTCCCTCCTCAGAACCTCAGACGAATTTAAGGAGATCGAAGCTCTTTTCTGTCAAACACTGCGAGGTTTTGATATCGTCAAAATCGAGAGAATTCAGAACAGAGCTCTTTGGGAAGTCTTTCAGTGGTACGTATGTTTCTTTGTGTGTTCACACAGAATTGATCATTTATCATTTTCCAGTATTCACCAATTCAAGTCTCATTTTACGTTTGGCCGTTTCCTCAATTTTAACATCATGATTTGAATTATTTTTCCTTAATAAAGGCAGAAAACTCAGATGATTAACAATGGAAGTACTCTGAGAGAAAAAAAGCTTTTTCATGGCACCGACTCCAAATTTGTGGACGTCATCAGCCACACCAACTTTGACTGGAGGATATGTGGAGTTAATGGCACTGCTTATGGCAAAGGTGAGTTTCATAAAAATCCAAGAGAGAGAATCCAACTGAAATTTAAAGGAAAATTTGGGATGAATTGATTTTTTACACAAGTTTATTATTCTATGTATTAAATCCCTAAATAGTTATACAGAAAGGTGAGACAGAGAGCTAAACTGGAATAAGTGAACCATCTACTGAAGCCCGACCGATTTATCGGCCAGCCGATAATTTCGGCCGATATTAGCATATGCAGGAACGAGTGACGATCGGTTTCGGCTACTTTTATCACAGATATGCGCCAATATTATGAGATTTATTCACCAATCAAAAAGCGTTTCATTTGAGTTTCATTGTTTTACACTAGCAGTTCTCCTTCACCAGCAGAGGGCGCTATATGGATTACAACGAGCATCATCACTCTCCAGAGTGTCAAGTGGTGATGCACGTACATGCACAGTTACTCTCCAGTTGAGTGACCATGTTTTCTCTGTTTTACATCTTTTCCACAAGTGTTTGATAACTGCATTTGAGGGGTATATATCTTTACAGATTGAACATAGATCTAAGAAATATATCGGCCAATATGTCATTAGCGGATTTTTTCTCTCCCTGATATTGATATCTGTATCGGACCGAAAAATCGCATGTTGCGATTTTGCTTCACTTCTAGTTATTTGTATTCTTTGGTGATGCTTTGAAAGCTTCAACCTGGGCTAAGTTGATAAATATTTCGCAGTAAAACGGGTAGGACCAAGCGGAAACCTCCAGTGTTGAAAAATGAATCCAATGCAGAAGTGCAAAATCCTGCAGTTCATTGAGTGTCCACTTGAGGCTCTCCAAGATTCCCAGAAGTCACATACACACCACCAGGGGCGTTTCTAGGTTTCTGAAACATCCGGGGCTTAGCCCAGAGGGAACTGGCAAATGCGCGCGCTAAGTGCGCAAAAATTTTCATAATGCTTTACATGAATAAACAAAATACGCAGTTTATTATAGCTTTAAATAACTACCTGACTGATGTGCTGCTTATCCCCAGACATCTAAAGTTCCATTCAAGTTATTTCAATAAATGTAAGTGAGACAGACCTTACATTACCTACAGTATATGGATCTGACTGGGGATAGGATAGGTTAATTCACTTGAGGTGGTAAACAGTCTGGTTATGTTTTTAAACCGTTTATTCTCTTGCCAGAAGGACTAGGCTACTTTATTTTGAGATGCGGTGCGTTCAGAGACACTCGGAAATTCCACGGTTGAATACGGAGATTTTGTTGCTCTGTTGTTGTGCAGTAAAAGAGTGGCGTTCAAGGACCGTCGGCGGCCCCCCTGCGGTAACTGATGGGTGACGTCACTCAGGCTTAGTCCATTATTATTAAAAGTCTATAGGTAGGACTAGATTTTTATTTTGTTTTTTAATCTTCAAGCTACTGTTGGAAATAAAATAATAAATGTGATGTTTTGGCTTGTACTGCTGGTCTACAGTACTCTGGTTCTGACTTCAGAGTGAAACCCCCTCCATGGACAAAGGCTCTCATTTTGCTCTCTGATGCATCAAATGTCAGAAGTGTTTTAGGTTTTCTTTAGCTGGAGATCTTCTTTATTGTTGGTATATTGTTTCATGCTGTTGTTGTCCCCCTCTCCCCTAAGTTGTAGGATATGCTGCATTTCTTGGATGTAAGTTAGGGGATGTGAATTGCTTACACTGTTGTTTGAAAAGCTTTATTTATTTGAGAAAAGGATGAACAGATAAGTGTATGATATGAACAATTATTCAGTTGTAACAAATGCGGTGAAATGTCAAATACAATGATCATCTCTCTGTGTCCAAACCCAGGTAGTTACTTTGCCCGGGACGCCAAATACTCCCACAGCTACACGGGTGACTCTGATATCAGGTCCATGTTTGTGGCTCGGGTTCTGGTCGGAGACTACACCAAAGGGTCCTCCGGCTACGTCAGACCTCCTTCTAAGGACGACGGGGACATTAACTTCTATGACAGCTGCGTAAACGACATCGTGACCCCCTCCATCTTTGTCGTGTTTGAAAAGCACCAGATCTACCCCGAGTACCTGCTGCAGTACAGGACCACGCACCCGCTCGTTTCATTGTATGGTGCTGCGTCGGCACCAGCGCCAAAACCAGTACCTGCACCAAAACCAGTCGCTGCACCGACACCAGTTTACACACCTAGACCAGTGCCTGCACCAAGACCAGTTATTGCACCACAACCAGTAGCGGCTCCTACACACCAACCCACATTGTCATACCGAACCAGCACAGACACCTACCAGTTCAGAACAGCGTCGCCCCCATCCCCACGATATTCTCAGCCTGCCTCGCCAAAGAAGGATACCTGTGTCATCGCTTAGAAACAGATAAAGTTAGGCATCGTATCTGTTTGAAGGAGCATGATGGAGATAATGCTGTGTGCTGTTGTTTGTTGCGGGTAGTAGATGAAATAGTGATATCGTTTTATAAATATAGTAAAAAGCATTTCAAGAAGAGTGACGTGGCTCACATGAGAGTGTCACGTTCAGAAGCTAATCTGAAGCTCTTGTTTGTTCTCACTGGCGACACCTGTGGCGATAAGAAGTCATTGCAGGCAGACCTTTCTTTAATGGAGATCCAAACTGTGAGACAAAGTTTCAGACAAAGACTAAAATATATAGCGAGGATGTGTAAGATGATCTGGCTAAATGAGCTACATCTTACCTTTTGCTTCCACATCGTTGGGTGAACAGAGTGAAGCCAGAGATTGGCTTGCTTATTCACCTTGCGTCCGCGTACACAGATTGCTGTGTGAGGAACGTAAATGTTCCCGTACTTCTCTAAACACTAAAATGTGTTACTGGAGGAGACCTGTAGAGGGCACACCAGACGGCTCAGGCTGATGTGCAGAGAGTTACAAAGCAAAGATGTGGCACTCGAAGGAGGTCAATGTTATGTCAATGCTGACAGTGGTGCCAACGTGCTTGGATTTTTGTAACGGCCCAGACCTACTTCGTTTTTTAGTTTTGCGGGTTTCCGCGTCGACTTTTTAAAACGGAGTTGTTTGATCAGTTTGTTTGTTACTGTGCGTTGGTAACAGACACGGTACAGATGTGGATGTATTTGATTAAAAAAATAATGATAATTAAATACAAATGCAGCTGAAAGTCACCAGTTTACAGGGTCACCTGATAAACTGAAACAACGTACTCGCCTGCATTTAGTTTTGCAGGTTTATGGAACTTATTTGTCCTAGATATTGTGACAGACATGTTTGTCTCCGTGCAGAGACAATGACAAACCGTAGAGATGTGGGTGCTCGCTGACTCGGCCTATCAGCTTCTCTCCCCAGAAAACTCTGCCATTGTTGTCGCTGCAACATCCCTCTGCCTCTACACTGCCCCTACTGGGGATATGCATACTGCATCTTGCGACATACATTTTTGAGGATGTGCACAGCAGATGCTGAGAGCAGTTTGCAGGGCACGTGTGGCAGCCATCATTTGCACACAAATGGTTAGCTGAAGCAGGTAAACCTTAGGCCTTAGAGCACTATGGTGTCCCACAACACGCCTTCAAACCTTGTTGAAATCAACTTTGTCAGGTTAATTTTCAGGACGTAGCAATATTATATAAGGGCTATTTAAGTGTGTGTACTGGTAGGTTGTTACACCACAAAGTAACCATAGCAGAGGTGGATGGCCGTTGCTGGCTGGACCATGAACCATTTTTAGGATTTTTCTACGGAATGTCGGCGATTTAAAAAAAAACAAAAAACAAAGTGAACACACAGGCTTTTACTGGTGAAACATCAGCTCTAAAGCCAGTGTGTGAGCTCAACTGGCATAGGATAGTGACTAAGATAAATATAATTTACAGAAGTAAATGTAAGAAGTCATTAAAGCCAAGCGCAAATAACACTCAAATAATGAGTTCCACAGGTGAAGCAGAAATGGATCTACTTTGAATAGTGATCTAGAAAGACAGAGAGCCACATTTCAATTTCAGTTTATAAAAAATTATGAACCGCTTCTGTGAAAATCTGTAACTAAGGAGTCGATTCATGAAAATGAAGAGTAGGAGGAGCTACTTCAGGTGCAATTCATCGATTGTGGAGCAAAAGATGGGCTCCTCGGATCACATATAAAAAAACACATCGCACTAATCTCATGTATAAACAAAAGTGACAACGTCGCACGATGACTCTAAACGGAGGAGAAACCGGCGCACAGTGTGACGAAACAAGCCCAAAACTCTGTCTTTATTGTAGAGATAGTACAGTGGATAGAGTTTGAAATCAGGGAGAGAGTGGGGAGTGACATGTGGGAAAGGACCCACAGGTCGGATTTGAACCTGGGCCGCCCGCTAACCACTGCACCACCAGTACGCCAGTTTCTAAAAATCTCAACCCTTGAACAAGTTTTCCAAAAGGTGTGTTTTCAGTGACCCAAAACGCAGTTCGCGCAAGTAGGAAAGACCAAAACGGCCTGACTGTCGTGTGCTGATGCTATGGTGCTCGCCGCAGCGGCCGCAGCCCTTTGCTTGCGTGTCGTCCCCTCACTCTCTCCTTCCATTGTTTCCTGTCTCTCTTTGGCTCTCCTATCCAATAAAGGTGAGAAAAAAATACACGCCTAAGTGTGCACTAGGCCTTTTTTATTACATTTGCACTACTACACCTCTAGGGGGAGACAAAATCCATGAAGGCCATAAAATTGACAGCTTCGATTACAAAACAAATAGTGAAGTTTTCTTTGTCTGTTTTGTTTCTTTTTTGTTGTCTCCCATACTGCCCCCCCCCTTTTTTTTTTTTACTACTGTTAAGTGTCCTTTGGTTTCTTGAAAGGCACTATATAAATCCAAGCTTTTATTATTATGATTTCTTTCCTTCCAAATCATTTATCACAACACAACTGTGATACTTTGTGTACTTTATTTTCTTAAAAAATATGGCTGTCATAAAATGGTTGTTTTGTTGTCAAACTCTTGATTTTTGTTCATTAAAATAAATAAATCAAAGTTCATGTTGAGCACTGTTTGTTTTAGTGTTTTTCTTACATGGCCTCGTTGTGTTCCTGCTCGAGAAGTGTTTCTCTCTCTTTTTCTCCTTCTGTCTCGTCTGTGAATTGAAAATGCCACCAGCGGTTGGGTTGGGTTTCTTAGTGAAATGAGGCAGAGCATGAAAAATGATCAATATGGCTGCCGGTGCTTTCCTTTGACATCAGACATTAGGCCTGCAAATCATCCCCCACTTCCCTCAAAACACACGCACAAGCAGACGCCTGCTGTGGTGTTCCCTTACAAAACCTCTTTTTGAATTTGAGAATGTTTCCATGTTCAATGACCTTTCACTAAAGTAACTCATACTAACTTTCACTGAGTCTTTTCACATACTACAGTATGCATTGATTTACACTCAAACATCTCCCATGAGTTCCACTACATCTGAATTTGATATATTTTATCTGGAAGGTTTGTTTCTCCCACTGGTCGTGGAGGCATAACTCAATAAAAGTCATCGACCCAGGGAGTTGGCTCCTTTTTTTTTTTTTTTTTTTTATCAAAGGAGACTCTGATTTCAAACACTTGTCAGACCTAGAAGCAGCCGATTTCTTCATACTGCTCATTAGGATCTGCTAGCTGCTCGGTCGCGTCTTCTACATTTGAGGTGCGGCCCTCGGCTTAAGTCAGACTTTTTTGAATGCCGTTAACACAGTTTCTCAGCTCCGTTGACGTGTCTTTTATTGTTGTTGTACGGCTGACCTCAGTGGGTAGATTCACCATGAAAGGTTCCTGATATCTGTGATCCGGTAGTGTGAGGCTACCCTCAGGCTGTGGGCTGAGTTGTATAGCAGCACGGCTACTCGTTGCACTTTTAAAAGACTTGGACATAGTACAAAGTTGTGACACTTTCAGTCTAGAGAATAAGAGGTTATATACAGTAACTGCATGCACAATTATAACCAAGAGAAGGTGGGATCAAAATGTTCTAATTAACAAAGTTTTAGGGTTTTTATCTGGAGCTAAGTTAGTGTTTTGCCATCTTGATGCAACTTGTGTGGGTGGGTCTGGGGGTTCTTGAGAGGCCCTGTTGTCAAAATGTGTGTTAAACAATCACTCAAGGCAAACGAAAAAAGGAAATAGTTTGCCAATCACTTTGAAAAGTTTCAGCACCACGGACAGCGCATGTCACTTCACATGTATAGCTTGAGATTTCAGCACCATCACTAACGGACAGCGAAACATAAGAGACACAGCAGTCCCCATCACTACAAAGCCTTTCCAAACATGAATAGAGAGTCTACAGACAGTGTCACAGTCATGTGTTGAGATACAGGAAACATGAAGGAGGCATGAGAACAGGTCATTGGACTGATTTGATCTTTACCAGAAACTTAAATTAATCATGGCTATGGAATTTAGATATTCACTGAGGTGAATAAAGTAAATAGATAAATCAAACAAAGTAATCGCGATACAACTAAGGTCCGAAATGAATGCATCCTTCTAAAAGAAATTGCATTAATTTCTTGCTATTTTGTCCCTTTAGGAACACCGTAGGTAAGCAGCACCGCAGCATCTCCCTGTTGATACAGTGACTTCAAACATTTACCTGTTTTCATTTAGTTTTCTATCCATAACAAGTTCCTTTTTTCAATGATTAAAAATAAAAGCCCAAAAACTGTTTTTAATACAAAATACTGAAATTTTAAACATGCAATGAAAATAATGTGATTAATCACTATCAACTATTGAAATTCAGGGATTAATCACGATTACATTTTTATTTTTATAGTTTTACAACCCTTAAAGTTACATACTCCAGCTGCTTTATTGTTCCTTATTTGTGTAATCCTGAGGTAAAATTGTATTATGTCTTTGAATAAACTGTAGCTAAACTACTATGAGATGATTCATAAACAATACACTAGAGTCCATGATGTAACTTTTCTCCATGGGAAGGACATATGTTTGATAAGAGCACTAATAGAAATCATTGATTCCCCCTAGGTTCAAAACAAATACCTGTTTTTATGTGTTGAGGAGACCATCGGCTCAGATACTACAGCAGATCAGGAAGAGACTATTCCCAGGGAAGAAAATGGTCATTACAGCTGTACCCATTTCTCCACCATCTGAGCTTCATTATGCGCTTGCTGCCCATTAAGATGGAGCAGTCCTATGGGAAATGCAGCTGTGCACTGCAGAATGCAACAGCCCACCCAGTGACAGTAAATATCCACTGACATTAACCAGCCTGAACAGCTACTTCCTGATGCGTGCCCGTGGTGGCTGCTGTGCCATGCCCTGGTTTTTAGCTTCCTGCAGATCCACCAGAGCAGCCTGCGAAGAGCTTCCAGGCCTGCAGCACATCGGAAAAAAAAATCTGGTTCTCCTGCATAGCAAGAGCTTATGAATTAAATATGACTCTTCTTCGTTTCGTTTGCATGCATCCCTTGCTGGTGTTGAGGTGTTTATGCTTCTGCTGAGTCATGGTGGTTTTGTTCCAGCTGATGGAAAGAATGCTTTGGTGGCAGAACCCCAGGGTGACTGGAAGTGAGTCAGATCTTTATTTGGCTGATAGCGGGAGAAGTTTAAGTGGAGTTTCTGAAATGTTTTTAGGTGATTTCAGAAACAGCTGCAGTCAGCAGATAAACAGTTTGGAGCTTTGGAGATCAACACAGCACCTGTCGATCTTCAAATTATCAAGGTCTATGGTGTGTTTTCTTTAGCAGTCTGTATCCCTTTAATACATATATACATTACAATACATACATTTTCAATCCTTAAAGGTGCCTCAGTGTTTTTCTATGGACCTTCATGGTATCTAGAAAACTAGAATATTATGACTTTAATGGTCACATCTTATGCCAAATACACTTCACTGATGTTTTCAAGCATTAATATGTGTCCCTAGTCTGTCTACAAACCCCCAAATTATGAGATTAAGTCCATCCTCTCCGTCTTTTGCCTGCTCCACTTTTCAGAAAATGTGTGCTCAAAGAGGCCGTTTGGAGAGTTTCCTTTTGTGACATCACAAAGGGAAGTAACCCCTCCCCCAGGTGGGTGACACTCCCACAGATAGGTGTTTGTTCTGCCCTCTGAGTCTGCCTTCTCATTGTAAATAGGACATGGAGCGAGAAAGCCCGAGACACCCAAGACCTTCCAGAGAGGGGGCGTGGTCAGACACAGCTTATTTACATTTAAAGGTACAGACACAGAAACAGCCTGTTCTGAGAAGGGCTGAAATAGAGGGGTTGTATCAAGCGGCAACCTCTGGTCTTGAAAAATGACACCAATATGGAAGTGCAAAATCCTGCAGTTTGTCGAGTGTCCAATTGAGGCTGGCTCCAGGAACACCGGAATTACATACAAATAACTGGAAAAAAGCATAAATTAACATGTTTACAGCCTGGTACAATAAATGAAATAGGTCTGATTAGTTGTTGTCATCACTGGAACACACTGTACCATCCCTCCCAAAGTGGAGAAAATCAGTCATTTGTCTGGGACTATTTTTAGCAGTGGATTAATATGAATTTGCTTTTCCTTTTTTTATGTACCTTCTTGCATAAGTCAGTGCTGCAGTTGGGCCAACACCAACAAAATGTTTTGGACATGCCCTTTATGAGGAGCCAGACAGAGCAGCTACATGGCTGTAAGATCAGATAATACTGCATTGATCCCTAGAGGGGAACAACTCCTGCAGTTTACGATGCAGAATCACTGTTTACAGCAATTGTCTTTTTGGTTGTTCCAAAACTACTCCTATTGTTTCCTTTTGCATTTAAATGTCCTATTTACACATACTGACTCCCCTTGAGTTTCAGGATGAAGGACCAGCGCCAAATGCAGAACTCTTATGTGATGTCTTAATGAAATGTGGATACATTACTGCAGTCAAAAAGAGAGTGTATCCTCTGCAGTGTTACCCTCATCTTCTCGCCTAAGTAGCTATTTTTGCCCCGCTGCTGGATGCTGATACGTCTCGCTGTGATTTGATCACAACACTTTGGGTGCAGGCGGTGTCATCAGCTTGTCTCTTTCCATTTTTTTTTTTTTTTTTTTTTTTTAACACTGACGGGTGCATCAGCTGGGGCAATAATGCATTCAGAGCAGAAACTTGTCAAAGTGTCATGCTGACACCAATAAACAACCAAACTGAGCCTCAGAGCTGATTGAAGCAGCTTAAACACAACTAAAATACTTGATATGTACCCCAAATCCATATATTAGTACATCAATATGACCATTATGATGATGAAGGTTTACTCTGCAGTGTACCACTAAATTTGCAAATATTTAATTGCCATCTGTGAATAAGCTGTTTGCCTCCAGAGGGCTTGTAGCAGGACCGCAGCTTCTCATTAAAGAGTAATTAGCTCCATCACAATCCCTGGATTTGGACATACATCCACACTGCTATTCATGAATTCATTAAATATTTCTTAATCCAGCTTTGTGCTTATGATCCTGTGGTGTGTAGTGTTGACTGGAGACTGAGGTGCCATAAAAAGGCAGTGTATATTTTCATTGTTATTCAGACATTTGGTGCCCAATGACCCTTGAAATTAAATACATTTTTTAAAATATTTTGAAAAGTCCTTGCTGAAAAAAAAACATACCCTTTATTGTTTCAAGCAGAAGTCACTTTTAAGAATTCAGCTTTTACCAAGTTTAGTAAGAATGCAGATATGGGCGGCAAACTCACCGAACAGACTGGAGCATGTCAGTGGTGTCATGTCTGCAGTCTGTGGGCGTGAACACATGAATAGTGATGTTTTTACACTCTGTTACATCAGAGTTACAGCTGTGACTTGACTTGTACTCGAGAGTGCCACCATGGAATATTTACTCATGCTGATATCAGCCTGAAAAAGATCTCAGTCGTTTAACTGACTGAAATAAAGTACAGTGAGTACCTTCTGGTACGACTTTAACCGTGGGGGAAAAAGAAACTTGTTATGGATCAAAAACAAAATGAGGCAGCGACATGAACAGCTCAAAGGAACGGTTAAAAA